GCCACCGATCCCCCCTCACTTCTGTGGTGTGTGCCACTATTACAGTAATTATGAGCACAAAATGTGTCTGTGCCGAACAGCACGTACAGCATCAATCTCCTACGGCGATGAAAACATACGCTTGTATTTCCACGTGCACCAAGCATGCCTATTTTGCTCGTAATCCGGAACCGAAACCAATTGTCCCGCGATGTCTGGCTACCGTTCTCGACAAACATCCAAAATAATATAAACAAAGTGGAACATTTTATTGATTACTATGATATTATACCACCATATTATGTTGTGCAGTTTGCAGAATTTGCAGAATCACAAAAAGTTGAAACACTGATCAACGTGATCTGGCAACCATGGCAATGCTCCGAATCTCTCTGAACTTTTCCGAATCGCTTGAGATTCGGCTTTTCTTTCGAATCTTTCGGAATCTTCAGATTCGGCTCTGAATCTCGATTCGGATGAAGATTCGTCCCATCACTACCACAAACAAAAACCCAACCGCCTTAAGTTCCAACCGTCGCACCAAATCCCTTTATTTATTTATTTTTTTGTTTTGTTTTTGTTCCCGGAGTTGTCGCTGACGCCGACTGGCGCTTCGAGCAGGCGCGAGGGCCGCGCTGATTGGCCCGCGTGCTCCCTGTCCTGGCACGTGAACACCTCTCCCCTTTCAAGGCATCCGCGCTGCGCGTGGAGACACTGCATGATCTCCGGTCCCAGGGCACCGGCGCATTCCAGGTGCTTGACTCATAGGCTCAACCAGAGCCGTATATGTAGAGTTTGGCCATTCGTTGGGAACTATAGGAGACAAATGAGGATTCGCCATTGGCCGCAAGCGGGCTGGGCGTGTTCCAGGGCGTCTTCAGAAATTCGAATTTGACCAAACAGAAGCCGGAAATAATACCCTGGCGGTGGTCGCGAGAAACAAACCTGATAACTGCATTGAAGTAACTCTCGATGGCTGAAAATATGGTACACGTGATGTTTCAATCATGCTCATCCAAAATGATGGTGGGGGAGTGCGACTAGCGGAACGATCGACATAATCTGTACGCCAAGCACCAAGGGCCGGGAATCTGCCGTCCGAGTGGTCACACTCTGTCCGCGCAAAACAGAGTTGAGCGGCGCATTCGTTTCTTACATCTTTCTGCATGATCATGTTCAAAACAACACGTGCACCCTATTTTCAACCACAAAGGGTTACTACACTTCACTCTTAAGCGCTTGTTAAAACCACATACGAACATATACCTTTGATCAGAACTGTTTCTCGCTACCACCGCTAGGGGACTCTTTTCTGCTTCTGGTTGGTCAAGAGAGCATGCCAAGCCCTCTTTCCGAGTCTGCCGCACGTCCTGGCTGTGCCCGCGCCTCCCATTGACCGAACTCTCTACATATACGGCTCTGGGCGCAACCACTGATCTCTATGACAATTGCTGGGTCGCGCTTCCCCGCTTCGAGCCCATTGCGGGATTGAAGCCACCTGTCGGCCATCTTACCGGTTCCGCGGAAGCGTTTTCAAGGCCGCGGTTGTGTCTGTTGCCACGTGACCTACACACGGTAACCATGGTAACTGTCCAGGCTTGGCACTGCAGCGCTAGAGGATATCTCGTTAGATAACCGACGGTGGCTTCATTTTCGGTGCGGGGTAGCGCGATCCAGCAATGGACCTTTTGGCGAATATGAGCTGCCACCTATGGGGCGATGGACGAACCTGAGGCGCACTGGGTTGAAGAGTATTTGTAGAGAAAACAACGTTTACGTTAGGCTTCTTGTGGGCTACCGGTTCATTTTCTTTTTACTGCTCTTAGTTTTCTTTCGGTGCCCGCATTTATACATCGGCCAAAGTGGCCGATGTATAAATGATAGAGCAAGGGAGCACACAGCCTCAGTGAGAAGCACATCAGCAGGACATTTGTAAGCTCATTGCCGGGCCTGTGGATGCGATGCCGGGCTCACCAGCATAAGCGTCCTTCATAGGAACAAGAACTCCTTCGCGCGTGAATTGCTGGAGGCCTTGGCCATCGAAGAAAAAGGAGAAGATTGTGGTCTGCCATATCCCGTTGAATACTAGGCTAAAAGGTTTTTATAAGTGTTTATTCTTCCGTTAGACGAAGAAAAAGAAAGAAAAAAAGGGCATAGGCCGGGAAGAAGACAAAGTAAAATTCTGTTGATAATCAGCGTTGTCTTTGTCCAGTTCTTTCCTTCGCGTCCTTGTTTTTTCGTGTTCAGCTGACCTGATTGCCAACAAAAGGTTCTCACCTTGGGTTGATGATCTGGAGGACCTGCGTTGAAACCAACCGAGGGCTGACGGCCGTGGACGCGAGTAGCTGAACAGTGTAGGGGCATAGTCCGGGTGTGCCTTGTCTAACGCCGGCTGTGATCATCGCCGCACTTCGCAAAGCTCTATCGCTTGCAAAAATTACAAGTCAACTTACCTGTAATAAAATGAGCGCTACATAGTCTGGACAGCTGACTCGGCTTCCAGTTCTTCGAGGGGTCAAACTTGTCAACTTTCCTGACGGCACGAATCCAGGCTGCCCGCTTAAAGGGGTACTCCGGCGATTTTTGAGCTACCTCAACTAACTATATTTTCTGACTCCCCGGCCTTTACCCTTTCTGGTATGCTATTTAGTATCGTGAAATTCATAATAGTTATTGTGAAATCGGCAAATGAAAATGATGCAAAAACAAACATTCAAATATACCCGCCCTTTTCAGGGCCGTGACGTCAGTGGAAGGCAAGCTTGCCAGTCGGGCGAGCAGTCTAAAAAATAGAATATGCCAATCATTTGTTCCTTGCTGGAGCGCGGGGACTGAAGCGAGCTTCCAAAGCATTCATTTGACACCATGAAACTGCTTCGAATCAGTTGGGAACAAATTCTACAGTCCAAAGAATGAACCCCTGCACTTCCACCGACGTCACTTTTTCGTTGTTGCCAGTAGAGACTTTCAGTTTGAAAAACACGGTGAGGACCAAAATTGTAGATTCAATAACTTCGTGAAAAAAAATTATTTTGACCTAATATTTGGGATACTATTTTGGCGATGTTGTTTGGCGAGTTTAGCAAAATTTCAAGCAAATCGGGGACCATGAAGAAATCGGCGGAGTACGCCTTTAACGGGATGAAGCTTAGCACACGGGAAGCGAAAAAAACTAGTTCCACAACCCGGGCGATAATAGTTCCGACAGCCGAAGGCTACACAGTTCACCGGCATGATTGTGGTGCACGTCGTAATCTAGAACGGGCGTCGTCAATACGATGCCTCGTGTTCACCTTGTTCGCAACATCAAAACTTGAGTCTCGATGGTCTCCAAGGCGCGAAAAGGCGAGAAAAGCAAGATGCCGGATTGTTTAGAACCAGATACTCTCGAACCCAGGCGCATCAAATACTCCGCGAATGCGCACCGCGTATTTCCACAAAAAGTCCATTGCCATAGAGATCAGTGGGCGCAACTGCCACATTTTCTCGCGCTTCTCCGACATCAGGGCCCGTTTTCTCGAACGCAAACCGTGGTTTAAAGTTAACTATTGTCCCTAGAACGGGGCATTTTAGGTCACGTGACTGGGCGAGCAGGGCGCCGAGGGAGAAGCAGTACCTACAAGCAAACTTGCCGCGACGTCGCTTAATGAGGGCTAATAGTTCTGCTTGGTTCTGCCGAACATTCATTTGGATCCGGCTGTTATATTAATGACGCACAATCAACCTATTAGCACATCAAGCAAAGCGGTAGTTCAGAGGGACTACTAAGCTAACCGACGGCAGCATTCCGCGAACGCATCAGTCTGCACCAGTCCGGGACCCAGGACATATGACGGTACATCAGCCTTGCAAGTGTTTTTATGGTGAATAAAAAATGTTTTGCGAACAAGCGTTGGTATACGAACGGGTTTAATTTGTTACACTATGCACGCCAACTCGCGAGCAGTGATTACTTTGCGGAGAAAGAGAATTATCTTCGATAAAGTCTTCGTTCCGAGTGAACACCTGGGACATTGTACCGTTTTTTTTTTTTTTTTTTATTTGCAGTGCGCCGACAGTATGCGGACAGCATCGAGGTTTCTACATATCCCCGGTGGCCAGCAATTCAACGGTGACGAGAACCTTAGCTATACGCTGAAGCAGTGCCGCTGCGTCTGGTTCTGACCGCGACGGTCGGTCGATGCATCCACCAATGGAAAAGATGGTACAAGCGCGGTATACGAATCAACCTTGCCGATGTCATCTGCAGAGGTCGCAGAAACGAGAAATAAACAAACACTTACCACAAAGAAAGTTGACGAGATCATCCTTTCGCTTTTTTTTTTTCGTTTTTAAAAGTGATATTAGGATTATCTTGCGTCTTATTGCGATATATAGCAAAACGCAGGTGTGCGGGTAGAGAAACCAAGGTAGCAGACGATAGTGTCCAGTCCGCAAACGTCGGTTGAAAATGGACCAAGCGTCAGTATCGAGGGCTTGCGAACAGAGGCAAAAAATTATGACATTAGACGAGAGATTGAAGTTAATTGCGGAAGTTGGGGCAAGAAGGGAACAAATTATGGGAAAATTCGGTCCTGCAGTAACTGCACACACGAGATAGTAGGCGTTGCTCGACATTACCGATGCAATGAATGAGCAGGGAGCTCAGAGAACCGCAAAGCAGCTAAAGGAGGCGTGGCAAAACCTCCTGCAAAAATGCAGAAAGGTCTGCAGTGCCTGCAAGAAGCATGAAGGGCGCACAAGTGAGTCGCAGGAATTTGCACATTTCGAGAAACAAACTAGTTTGCAATTGTTCGCTTTAAAGATGAGCGTGTGTGTGTGTGTGGGGGGGGGGGGGGGCAGGTACACATAAAATAAACAGAACCTTTTCTGCCATGGATTATAATGCCGTGTTAGCATTTAATTTTTTTTTTGTGGCATGACTGATGACAGATATAAAAGTGAGTGTTGACGTGTAACTTTCCACTACATTCCTGTCCCTGTTCGAAAACTAATAAAATCAAAAGAGGCAACATCTCAAAACAATTTATTGAAATTTCCTTTAACCGTGTTTTAGTAACCGAGACACGCATGAAAGAACAAAAATTGTGGTAGACCTGAGACAGAGGAGATCAAAATGTTGAAAGCACACCACCTAAACTGTGCCTTTTCTGTTGTTTTTAAGAAAACAGTCCTAAAACTTAGGGCATAGTTGTTCATCGAACACGTCGCTGAATACCCTACACTACTGCATCCTCAAGGCACACAGAAAGCACTATGTACAAAGTTGACTGCAGCACAATTGCACGCAGCGATGTGCATGTTGGAAGGTCACTTGTGCGAGATCACTCCACTGCAATGTTAAGAAGTTACATTTCTGCCACACAGTATAAATTACTATGCTTTCATTTCATGCTTCATAATGCCGTTGGATTTCTGCTGTTTATATTCTAGCTTGGTAGTTGGTTATTGATCCCCCTCCACTCTGCAATGCCTGTGGGGCCCGGGTGACTACGGAATGAAAATAGTGTGCATTCATTTGGTAGGTGCCGGCCCGAACCCCCATGAACTGACGCCCCTAATTCAGGCAGTTCTCGACGTGATCGGCGTCGACTCGCCGAACCTGTGTGGGCTCGATGTCATTGAGGGTGACACGGAAGAGTGAGTGGATTACTCTTACATCAGTCTGTATGACAAGTCAACAGCACTGGGTGCCAGGCATGCAGAAGAGCTCTGTTATTAATGGTGGGACCCTAAGAAACTGACGTGAAAACAGGGAGATTGTAAAAATTGTCATAGTGCCATACACACAATATCTAATTGGAAATCAGCGCACTTTCATGTATCACTACTGCGTGATGCAGGTTAGGGATAGGAAGCCCAGGATAGCGGACACACTGCACTGCCTTTGGGTCACTTATGACAAGCATGTAATCGTTAATTTCTCTTCATTTTACTCATAGGGCAGCATAATTGCTCTACAAACAACCTGCAAAAACACACACACAGAAGGATATGCAGCGAAATCTGCTCATTACTAATATTGCTAACAACCAGACAACAGAACTACCGATTTACAAAAGCCAGATATCCGAACAAAGAAGAGTTGTAGTACACTTTTTGATGGTTGAAGGAATGCAAGGTGGTGATATTTAGTTCTAACCGCTTAACCAACAGGTGCAACATCTCAGACACTATGCTTCCTTTTAAAGAAAAAAGAGGTACACCCCTGTTGTTACGCATGATATTTGATGAGTTGTTGAATGAGTGAACAAACTCATTGTTTATGCTGAGACGAACTAGTGCGGAACGCAAAAAGGAAAGAGGTAGCGTTGATGGCATCAGTTATCGGTTTAACAGGAGGATCGAAAGCCATAGCGATATTGACTCTACATAGCCAAGCGAAAACTCTTTTGTAGCATCGTGGATTTCGTAAACAACGAGACTTGAATGTTTGGTTTCACAACATCCTTAGGTGAAATAAACGGCAATTTTAAGAAATTTATAAGAAAGCTAAAGGTAATGAAATACTGAAAATTGCAACCGGTACAAGGAATATTACCGTAATATCCCGAGAGACGACCCATCCCCAACAGATAGCCCATCCTGATTTGTAGCAGGACTTTCTATTTTTCAATGGCTCAAGTTGAGCTACCTTGTGAACACCGAATGTTAGCCTACCCCTTATTTTTACCTAATGTGGTCTCAGTTTTGGGTGGGCAATTTCTCGGGATATAACGGTGAGCATGGATTTCTGCATGAGCACCATGTGTGTGGTCCACTCGGAGATGCTTGAAGCATCAGAGAGTTTCTGTTCTACAGTTAAGTACACTGTGGCAAAATTCCAGCAACATGTCGGGGTTACAAACACTGTATGTTATACTATGTTGCCTGCACACTTCTAATAACTACAGCAAATCACTTGCTGCATATCCATTTGCCACAGCGATAGCTTGAGGCAAACAGCAGCGCCGCAGCCTCGGGCGTCAGGAAGCGGCCAAAGGGTGGCAGCAGCAGAAGAGTGGGCAGCAGCTCCCCGTGTCTTGCAGACGAGACGTTGGTGCCGGGAAGCTGCGCAGAGGTATCAGCTGCAAGCTGAGGACCAGCAGCGGATGGAGGCGGAGAACGTCCTGTTGCATAGGGAGGCAACAAAAAGAGCCATAGATGCCTCGAATGCGCAAATCGCTGCAGCAGATACTGCTAAACAGTATTAAACTGAAATGCTGAGGCTACAAACCTTGCAGGCTGAACTTCAAATTGAGCTTTTGAAAAAACAATTGGGAAAGGAGTAATCAGAACAGACCAAGGGGGGGGGGGGGGGGGCATTAAGTTCTACGATTTTTCTTTTTTTAGATTGACGAACCAAGGGCGGATGTAAAATAATAAAGTACATTTTGAAATGCAAGGATTTGTGAAAACCTCAGTATGTTATGGGGTAGTCGTCCCTGGAGAAAAACACTCGACCCTATGCGACAGCCAGTAAGATGGTGCAAGTAATTTTAACGAATAATGAAATATTTTTATCGCCTCCCCAGTATTCCAGAGGACCACATTGGTATCCGACAACAGCGACAATCTAACCAGCGGAGTTTCCATACATGTGCGCAAGCCTGTCGACGCGTCAAACACATCATTGTTGGGCACTAAGGACAGAAGCCTAACAATTCGACCCTGCACAAAACAAAACAGCAAGTAAGCAAATAACCTAGGAAGTGCCTGCACGGCGCAAACAGTGATTATACGTTTAAATGCATGGTTACTGGTGTGACCACTCGGCGTGCCTGATTTGTTCGAGGAGAGTGTGTCGCGGAATTTACACCGTTCAGGAACTCAGTACTCTCTTTGTTCAATTCCCGAAGTAAACAGGCATTAACATACTTCAACGCTGTTCGACAGCGATTTTATACACCCTTTACTCTTTTACTAAGTGAAATAACCAATGACAGAATTATTCCTCTTATGTACGTGACCCATTAGTGGCTGTTATAATCAGGCCACTACTGTGACGCATACAGGTTGACTCCTCTCACCTGTAGAATACTTTTAAATATGGTAATAATGGTACCAACCTATAGGACAGACGCGCAAAAAAATGAAATGGTATTATTTTTTAGGCTATTATTTTGCACACCCCTATAATTACTCGCACTAAGGGCATTGATGATCGCGTAGCCTATAGTACGAAGGCAAGCACGATGACCAACACGCAGAAGTGGGCCGAAGCTTTCCGCACAAAAGTCGCACGCACTGTTGACCGAGGCACACAACAGCAATATATTGCAGGACTTTTGCGTATGTGGTTCCATGGGTCATGCAGCAATTTCACTGTTAAACGCAGTTGCAATTATGCTGCTTGACCAACTCTAACCTTTTACAATGAGGTACGCTGCAAGATATGTCAATCAATCTTTGGGCATTTGTTACTACATACCGAAACTGGATGAGGCGAGAATGATTCTGATCCGTGCCTGCAATGCTGTTCAGAAGAGTTACCTTGTTTGGACACCGCCACATTACATCTTAAGTGCATGTCATTGTTGCAACCAACAAAAAACATGCTGCAATGAAGAGGGTTTGCGAGACAATATGGTTTGCAATGCTTGAGGCACTCTTTCTGCTACAATGTTCGGAATCAGGAAAGGGTACAGACGTCTTCAATATGAGGGTGGACGCCTGAGCGGCATACGCCGGTCGCTGCATCGTCTCCAAGCGACGCTTTTGCAAATAAAGGTGGATAGCAGTCGCAGCACAACATCTGCTTGCTCTAATATCTGCCAACGCTTCCATTCTTTTGCAACGAGTGAATTCCGCAAAGCCTGCAGTGTTTACCCTCGTATTGAAACGGTGCATGAAGAGTGCTTAATAAAGATTTAAAATATCTATGTTCTCCAAGGAATATGTTGGGGTTGGTTCAGCCCCTTATATTAGCTGCTGGTAAACCCACAGTCAAAAGATGCCACGAAGCATTCAAGAAAATTTATTATATGAAATCGCGCAACACATTCAACTTGTTATTGTGGTTATCCATTTACGGAGCCTGGTAAACACACAGAGAGGACAATATCTCTGTAAGCTTCTCGCATTTAAGAAAATCAGTTTGAATTGGAAAGACCACATACCCACATACCTACGCTCAACAGAAGAACTGGTCGACAAGGGCACGCCGGGCCTCGTTGCTTTCTCCGCGGCCGGCTGCCATGGGCTCCACAGGAACCTCAGGCGGGATGGCAGTCCCTGGCATCGCGCAGGTGTATCTCTTGGCGAGATTGTGGAGCACGCAGCATGCCATGATGATGTCGCAGCATCCGCTTGGCTCCATGCGCAGCTCGGCGTGCAGGCAGTGGAACCTGCGCTTCAGCTGGCCTATTGTCCTGCGTGCATCATATGGACAGAATGAGTATTATTTATTTAAATAACACTAATATATTAGGGCTGAGACTATTTCATACTTTCTGAATGCTGTAGCCTACCGAAAACCCGGCAATCATTTCTTATCATTGCCCAGATATATAACAGTATGTTTACATGTACACCATATTAAACTTCCCTCGACAAATGTTCCTCATAGCTGAGTGTAAGCGAAACACAGTTTCATACAAACAGTCGTTAACATTAGCAGTCCGAAGATGTCTGTCAACGACTTTCCTATAGCAACCCGAGCCCGGTGCAATTTGTCACATTTTTACGGCTAGTCCCAGCAGTGTGGAGTATTTTAGAATGTATGACAAGTAGGCGTGTAATTTCTGTAAAGGTGGGGCCTGAAAAAAAGAACACGGCTTTGCATTTGTATCTTTTTGCTCTTCTGTATCCAGGTTGAACCAAAATATTGCCTTCCACACGTATGTAACAAATTCTGCCCCTAACGAACGAACAATGTGATATGTTCTCCAAAAAATATGTTGGAGAATATTTCACGTTTTTGTTTCTTGATACTATGCATGCGTTTTGCGTGTCTGCTTTATATGCAACACTGCAAATATATGTCTACGGTGCCCCCTTACGCAGGAGGCCCTTGGGCTGTATAGGGGCACTGGAAAAGTACAATGAATAAATATATATTCTTGGGATAGTATTTTCTTTCTTCTCTCTTTAAATTCCGTGAAACCACTGTTTTCTGCTTGGTCTAGAAAACACAAAACTGTATGTAGGGGAGTTACAATTAACAGTGTCTTCTGTGCTATGACAACCAAACATTACGTTGTCTATTGGCATTCTTTTCAATATAGCAGCCCAGTAACCCACCACGATGCGTGACCTTGTCTTACCTTTCAACAATACTCCTTGTCGTGGTGTGTGCCGTGTTGCACCTGACTTCTGCTGCTGATGATGGCGACAGGAAGGGCGTCATCAGCCACGGCTGGCAGGTGTAGCCGCTGTCGCCGAGCAATAGGCCATCGTAGACGCCATCGGCCAGCTTGACTGATAGTGTGCTCTCGGTGATAATCCGGGAGTCATGCGTGCTTCCTGGCCATCTCGCAACCACATTGCGTATGCGGCAGGATGCGTCAACTACCACCTGTACGTTGATGGAATGCTACAGGTGGCGGTTCACGTACACCTCCTCGTGCACACGCGGTCCCTGGATTCGAATGTGGGTGCCATCAACAGCACCCACGACACAAGGGAACCCGGCTACGTCAAAGAACTGCTCCTGCAAGGCAGCACTCTCTGCGACGTCAGGCCACCTGCATTGCCAATACATTCACAAGTTAATTTCCAGCACAATACCCGAGCATGCACATTTCTGCAAAGTTTAGCCAACAACATTCGTTTTTTTCTATTTTCAGTGTTCATCGTAAAAAAAATGACGTAAATATCGCCAAATGCCTCGACAAAACAAAATGTTCGAGAAAAAGAACGTGGGCCCACACCCCGGATCGAACCCCTGTCCACTTACGTATGAAGCAGACACCTTACCCCCTATGCACGGTGTATGCCCTTATGCTTTGCCATCTTTTTCTTTTTTTCTTTTTTTTTTAAGCCTATGCTATGCCACCGCTTATAAAACACGTTGTAACCATTCGTGTTATAGGCTCCTTGCACTGACGTCACATCGCATACTTTTGAACACCAAGTAAAAGGAGGAGAGGGAAACTGCCTTTGTAAGAATGTTGAGTAACGAGTTAATCCTCTCTAATCATCTGGCAGGAGAATAGCAACGCCTGTGCAAACCCGGAAGGCAAAAAGGAGGATCCTGATAAGAGGGTAGCTCCTTCTTTCCCTTTTCTCTGGAGGGCAGTTTCGCGTAGTGCGTATAGCCCTTTCCGGCCGAGGTGCACGACGAAGTGCGTATAGCTTTACTCATAAACAAACTCAACACAATCTGACTTTTCTTCTTTTTTTTTGACTCGGAACGCTCAGTAACTCTTTACCGTATGAAGTCTTACCGTATGAAGTCCCTTGCACGACGTGCCAGAGCTACCGTGACCTGCCTCACGGAACCTCAAGCACTAGAGACTTGCACGTGGACGTAGTCGCCTGCAGTGATGAGGAAGTTGCCTGTGGCGTAGAATTGCAGAGCGACGATCACCTGCTGCTCTGCGGACAGGGCGCAGCTGCGACGCGTCGACCGCTCCAAGTCCGGGCGCAGCGTCTCCGCGAGAAACATAATTCCCGCGCGACCAAACCGGAATCGTTGCTGCAGCACATCCTCGTCGAATTCTTCCAGCGGATGGAGGCGGTCCCGGAACACACGCTGTCGTCCCAGCATGACGACAGCGTACTGCGCGTACGCGTGGTCTCGTCGACGTCGACGCCTCGTCCCGTTCGACACCGTTTCCGTTATCAAAGTACATATATCTCCGCAGATCAGTTGTTAGTAAGTCCGCAGTCGGTCGGTGGGCTAATTGGTGGATCGGTTGGGCAAACGGAATAGAGGGCAAACAGTTGAGATCAGCAGGAATCGTCGAAACGTGCGTCGCAGGGAACAAAAACGAGACTACAGCAGCGGCGTTGCCAGACTGGAAGGGACACGGGAAAGTTATGCGTTGTTTATGGCGAAACATATTGAAGGAAATGTTTCTTACGTTTTCGAATATTCGTCGACAAACTCTAGCATGGTAGCTAAAATTTCTTCGTAGCATCTGAAGCAAATAAATTGGTCTTCAAGTACAACATTACTATATTTTGACTTAAAATACCATACTATATCGATCATAACCAGCAGAAAAAGGGGATAAACAAAATGACTGGCTTGTTTCACCGATAGATGACGCATCTTACTGCCCAATCAAAAATAATTATTGTGGTTTTATATCCAGCCGTTTATTACAGTACCTACCCAAGCAGCACGTTGTGAATGGGCCATCGCTGGCAAGTGTACTATGGCCAACCAGATTTTCGAAGGCCCAAACTTGGCCAAAGTGCTCGGCAATAGAAGTGTTTTCGTCCTGGTCTGGTGACTTGCCATTCACTTTATGCCAGTCGCTGGCCATTCACTATAGGCCAGTGACTGGCCATTCACTTTAGACCAGTGGCTGGCCATTCATCTTTGTCCAGTGGCTGGCCATTCAATTTAGGTTAGAGAATGGCTATTCACCTTTGGTCAGTGACTGGCCATTCACATTTGGCCAGTGACTAGCCATTCACTTTAGGCCAGTGACTTGCCATTCACCTTTGGCCAGTCACTTTCGGCCAGACACTGGCCATTGACTTCCGGCCAGTCACTGGCCGAAAGTGGCTGTAGTTATACACTTAACACATAATTTATCACAGACTGCCTCAGTGTTTCTCAAAAGACTGTCAAGAGATTCGGGAGGTCAAGTTTTAGAACTCAACCCCAGAAACTCTTACATAGTAATGACACGCGAAGCTGCTGCAAAACTGCTCAATATTTATTGGACTTTTTGAGTACTAAGTCTTACGACGCTGGTTGCGACCACCCTTCCAGTCGTCGTAGGTTCAGGGATGGTATGTTGTCCCACCATTAAGATCCCCCGGTAGTGCAGCAGTAAAAAAAAAAAAATAGAAAGAAGTAACTTTAGGTGAAGGGACATTGCAACAATAGAGTTTTAGTAGATCGTTCCGATACCTCCGATAGCCCCGATGACGATACAATGCATGCGCACGGGAGACGGTGGCGGAGTATCGGGTATCGTTATCGGAGTCATGGGAGCGATCTACTAAAACTCTACTGTTCAGTTACAATATTTTTCACTTTACACAAGCTTACTGGCACTAATGGGAAAGAGAAGCCTTGAGTACACAGAAAAGGTTTTTACACACTTAAGGGTGTAAATCAGTTGGTCCCTGGGCTAACACCCTTATGGTGTTCAGGCAAGCACCCTTCACAAAGGGTGCTTGATAACACCCTTGGTGAAGGGTGCTTGGCATGAAATGGGCACCTGCTGGGGTGGCCCAGTGGATGCTGGGCCACCCCAGCCAATCTGGCGCCGGGAGAGTATCATGCGACGTTTTGGTTATGTGGAGTTCAAGGTCACATGACACTCTCTCGACGCTGGATTGGCTGGTAGCGTCCGCCGCGCTCGGACGAAGGGTGAAATGAAGTATAGACCCCATTGAACATTTCATTGGAATATGTCCAATACACATATCAGAACTTGTAAATTGTACGAAAATTATATATGGTATTGCATATTCTTATATTATTATTATATGATTTACAGCTTTTCATGTTTACTGAACATATTTACACTTTTTTCACTTAGAGGGATTGCCACATCACCACATACGAGGCACGTGATTAAGAAATAATGAGTCACACTAAACACAACTCACTTCATGAAAAAGTAATACAAAAGAGCTCCATGCAAGCCGCATCATAATCCCGTGGGCACTTGGGAAGTGTTACGGCACCCCCCTTGCTCGAACTCTAAGTGAGCAAGCAGTGGCCTTAAGCATCGCACTGCACGGCTGAACCATTGTGAACATCATGCATGGTCTACCACAAACGAAGCATGTAGAGGTTTCCTGTTTGGAGATCAAGTGACATCTTTTGTTTGTCTCAGAGGATTGCAGGCAACACGCTTCGCATATCACTTGCCTCCTACGCGCATCTGTTTACTAATTGGAAGCAGGGTAGAGGGGGGTTTTTTAGCCCTTGACTGAACCGCAACAGCATTTGATTAGGTGAAGCTCATTATGCCATCAATTAGAATGTGTTAAATTGAACATTTATTGAACCGAGAAATGGGAAATCCAATGTATGCCATTCCATGAAATAAAAAATGCTATCTGCAAACATGTAATGAAAGATATTACAGAATGAACTTGTACTCTACGGCAAAAAAGCAAACGTTACAGTAGAAGACGCTATCCTCTTGCTCACGTACAAAGAAAATTATAAAGTTCTGGAAGACGACTATGGATAAGGAACTCATACAGCTAAATTCTAAGCACCTCGTCTACAGGAGGGCAGCATTAGTTATCACAGAAAGTGCCCAACATTGAAAGAAAGGAAAAGAAATCATGCCTTCATAAAACCTTCTATCATTCATTCTGGAAGCAAAATAAAAATTAATTTGATAATATTGGCGAGAAAGTGGATCATACACTTTTAAAACGGCTCACAAAACATCTCTTCAACCACATACCTTTCTACAAACTTTGTTCAAAAATTTAACTACGACTGTCCTTGGATTGGTGTCGCCCAAGCCAAGGAAAATCCACTCCAGAGCAGCCAGTGTGTTGGAGGCCTTGCATTCGTACTGGATGCTGAAAAGCCAATATGCTGCCAACAACATGCACAGCCCCTCTTCTGCATTAAAAACGAAAAACAAGAGCTCACGATCCTGAACAAGGTGAAGAAAGTCTGCATCGTCCAGCTCTTGCTTGTAGTAGAGGACAGATGGTGCGGGTGTGGTGTTCTCGTCCTGCGTTAGGTAAAAGGATAAAGCAAAACATATTTTAATGTAGAAGGCCAAAACATGTTTGCTCTTGTCAACTGCTATTATTCGCTGCAGTTAAGGCCATGAGCATCAGCCTGCACACAGGCATACAGTGCTTCTGTTGCAACAAGTAACCGGCGTCTGCAGCAATGTAAAACGAATGAAGAATTACAATCGGGGCAACATCACAACATGCAAGCATTGCGATGTAATCTTAGGGGCACTTGTGAGTATCTCTATTTCTGTACCGAAATGCATTTACGAAGTCTATTTGTGTTTCAGTAATTAAATACTTTTGCGATGTATTATGATACGCAGCTAGACTTATGTATCTTGTAACATTTATTGTTAGAAATGAGCTGACAGGTTTGGAGATAAAAAAAGCCACGGAAAAATCCGACGCATCACTGGTTTATTTTCGCAATGAGTGATTTCTTGCTTTGCTCTCACTTTTAACTTCTACAGCGGCCGGTTTTCTTTCTGCTGACAGCAGCCTTCCTCTGTACATTTGAGGTTATTGTATGGGTAAGAGGCCACCAACAGATGCAGATGAAAAACAATATGTCTAAAAGAAGAAGGCAAAAAGCAGGGACGTTTGGGCAGACACGCTTTGTCAGGCGGCGTCATCGGTCGCCAGCATTCAATAAATGCGAAAATGGGTTCTTTTCGGTACCAGCGAACATAGTCAAGGAAAGTCAAGTTGCAAAAAAAAAAAAAAAAAAAGGCACAAACACCGACAGAAGACAGGGAGCTTAGGTGCTACAATCTATGTTTGCCACAGACTCACCCTTCTCACCTCGCCACCCTGCGTTTATGAACCGTATAAGGCTCACGACTTACCATAACGGTACATGCCAATATTTGTCCCATGGCCAATGTTAATTTTTTTGCCTCCTCCTCTACACTGAAAAACCCAAAGATAAAGATTACAGAAAACAACCAACATAAAAATGTTTCGCATGTGGCTGTAGAAATTAATTTTCAAGGGCTACATTTTAAGTACAGTCGCTGGCAATATGAACTCCCCCGTCCGACAACCAACCGGTGCAGCAAGTATCCAGCATGCAGCGTGTCGAGGTTGACGGCTGCGGTTTTCAACGGAGGAGGGGGTGATTACACATTAAAACGTGCTCATGATAATATATTTCTACAGCTAGCTATGATACATTGTTGCGTTTGCACGTCAATGCACCCCTCGAATCCGTTACAGACAAAGGTATTCTGACAAAATATACAATGAGCTGTCTGCGTCAAGAGAAGAGCAATCTCGGTGGCCCAAAAGGTAACCTGCGGCTGCTGGATGACTTCATGTAAACGGACCCAGAATTCACGGGCTTGGAGAGAGGTGCAGAAACTATGTGACATTCAACTGAAAAGTTAATAAGCTCAAATTATTATCCATTTTAAGCGAAAATCCATTATTCGCACATGCCTATTATTTTCACAATGCAGCCAAAGGCGAACCAAGTAGTCGTCCGTTGATTTATTGACGAATAGAATACACTTTGAGTACCAAACTGGATGCTTTGCTTATGTTTGGAAGGTTGCAATGACAAATGCAATACCTAATTGGGTAAAAAGCAAAGTTTTGTAACAATTATGTGCATGATTACATTCTACAAGTCGTTTTACGTGTATACACTCTGCACAGCATTCTATTTGAAAGCTAACAAAGTTTTGAAAAAAAGGCCGTGAGAGTTCTGTCGATGTCTTCATTGCGTGTTCGTGGGACTCGGCGGACATTAATAAAGGGGATAACTGTCACAGTACGTTGACTAATTGACTG